GGCCGAGTTAATGCTTGCAGTCCAAGACCTAGAGGAACTGTTGGAGCAGAAGAACAAGGAAACATCCACTCAGCCCAACCAATACGGTTCCAGTGAGGATGTAACCGAGTTGAGGACAGATTTAGGGAAATGCGACTCAGATGAGGATGAAGAGCAAAAGGCACTGGAGAAGCTTGTTAAGGAGCATAGCGATGCCAATCAAACATCCTTGCTGGAGCAGAAGATCATTGACCTCTACAGCGAGATAGAAATATACAGAAGAGACAAAGATGAACTCGAGATGCATATGGAGCAGCTTGCACTTGACTACGAGATATTGAAACAGGAAAACCATGACATCTCATATAAACTAGAGCAAAGCCAGTTGCAGGAACAACTAAAGATACAGTATGAATGTTCTTCTCCCATAAATGAACTTGGATCTCAAATTGAGAGCTTGGAGAAAGAGCTGAAGATGCAGTCAAAAGAACTCTCAGAGTCTTTGGAAACAATAAAAGAACTTGAGTCTCAAATCAAAACCATGGAGGAAGAACTGGAGGTGCAGTCACGAGAATCCTCTGATTCTTTGGTGACAATAAAGGAGCTTGAGTCCCATATAAATAGCTTAAAGGAAGAACTGAAGATGCGGTCCAAAGGATCAGAGGAGTTTTCTGTAACAATAGAGGAGCTTGAGTCCCATATCAAGAGATTGGAGGAAGAACTAAAGATGCGGTCCAATGAAGCAAAAGATTCTATGGTAACATTACAGTATCTTGAGTCCCATATCAAGGGCTTGGAGGAAGAACTAAAGAAGCGGTCCAAAGAATCAGAGGATTCTTTGGTAACAATAGAGGAGCTTCACTCCCATGTCAAAAGCTTGGAAGAAGAACTGAAGATGCGGTCCAAACAATCCTCCGATTCTTTGGGAACAATAGAGGAGCTCGACTCCCATATCAAAATCTTGGAGCAAGAACTAGAGGAGCAGGCTCAGGGATTCGAAGCTGATCTAGAAGCTTTAATGGTTGCCAAAGTTGAGCAGGAGCAAAGAGCAATCCGTGCAGAGGAGGTGTTGAGAAAGATGAGATGGAAACATGCAAGTACTGCAGAGAAGCTTCAAGAAGAATTTAGAAGGCTATCCATGCAAATGGCGTCAACTTTTAATGCAAATGAGAAGGTGGCTACAAAGGCAATGGCAGAAGCTAATGAACTCCGCGTGCAGAAAATTCAATTGGAGGAAATGCTTCAGAAAGCCAAGGAGGAACTCCAGGCAGTTAGAGATGAATATGGGGCTAAACTGCGTGAGCTTTCCAGTCAAATAGATGATAAAATGACTCGAATAGAGCAGCTGTCATTGGAAAGTGACAACAACACCAAGCAGCTTGAAAATCAAAAGAAGCACGAGGAAGAAATCAGGGAGACTTTCTCCCAGGAGATCTCGCGGCTCAAAGCTGAGATTGAGAGGCTCAACGCAGAGAAAAGTTGTACTTCTGATCAAGGAGAACAGAACAGAAGTTTGGCTGAGTTGGAAAAGATGAAGATATCTGTCAAGGAAAATGAGATGTTGATAGAAAAGGGAAATGTAGAAAGATGTGAACTGATGAATACAATTGCTTTGGTAAAGAAGGAAGCAGAGGAGTCATTGGAAGAGTTGAATAGAATAAAGAATCTCAAAGATGATAAGGAGGCCACAATCAAACTCTTACAGTCGGAGTTAGAAAAGCTCAAAGCTCAGTGTGATGTCTTCAAGAATTCTTTGTTTGAGGATGAGGTGGAGAAAGAGAAACTTAGAAAGCAGGTATTCCAACTAAAGAATGATCTGAAGAAAAAGGACGATGCATTCGCCACCCTCGAGAAGAAGCTCAAGGATAGCAATGGGCGCACAACAATTTCTGACGGAAATAGAATTTCTCCAAAGAACAATAAATCTGCAGCAGCAGCTCCTCGCGGTTCAAAAGAAGTTGCTAATCTTAGGGAGAAAATAAAACTGCTTGAGGTAATCTAAATCCAGAGTTGCATATTTAGATGATAATTTTTATTAGAATATTCTACTAAAGTTTTTGCTCAGCTGAATCTAGATTATCTGAATGTTGCTTCTTTAACTTGTTCATGGAAATTATTTTTGATACTCGATCCAAATGTTTTTTTTTTTTTAATCTTAACAGGGACAAATAAAATCAAAAGAAGCTGCCTTGGAAATGTCAGCTGCTTCATTTTTGGAGAAGGAAAAGGATCTTCAGAACAAAATCGAAGAGTTAGAAAGAAGCGTCGAAGAACTCAATCATGATAGTGCACTTCAAAAGGTTAGCAGCATGCTTATGCTCTTGGGAGGATTTTTCATTGGTGGTATAATTACAACGGACAATTACATTGGCTGTTGGTTGTTACAATTGATATATATTTTCGTAACCATCTTGCAATGCAGGTTGTTAAATATGCCAGTACTTTAAGTTCGAAAGACGGCATTCTTGAAGTGGGAAGCACAGCTGAAGATCTTAGCACTGAAAAATCATCACCATCCAAGGAAAATAGGGATGAAATATCATTAACGAAGAGGTAAATCTTCAGAATATGTGCATTTTCAGCAATTTCAATCATAACTTTTGGTGAAAATCTAGTCCCATCTATAAGAAGTTAGAGACTAAACCAGCTTTTTTCTCTCTTTTTGCCCATATCAGGGATCAAAATGCATCGGAGGAAGAAAAAGAAACTACTCATGACAATAGAAATAGCAATGTAGACAATTTAACAAATGAATTGGCATCACTGAAGGAAAAGAACCAAGTAATGGAATGTGAGCTAAAGGATATGCAAGAGAGATATTCAGAGATAAGTCTTAAATTTGCCGAGGTTGAAGGTGAAAGGCAAAAGCTCGTAATGACTGTACGGTACCTCAAAAATCACAATAAGAGCTAGCAACTCTTTTCTCATATATAATATATATTCAACCCATATATACCATCATGTATAGTTGAAGAGACTGGTTGTGCCCACGTGAGAAATCCATATGCGAAGTTCCATTGGATTGAATAAATTAGTTTGTACACAGGCAAAATATGTATATTTCTTTTCTTTTCTTTTTTTCCTTAGCTTGAAAATGCTATATATCTGCCCCCCCATTGGGTTTAATACAAATACCTAGTTTTCCACTCCAGTTCTCCTGTAATTTTTTACTTTTCCAGAGCTTGTCACTATATGTAACGTTTTAATTATTAATGCATTCATTTTCAGCTTGTTCGGTTGATTTTTGAATTATGGTGACTTGCGTGTAAATCTTAAGTTGAATTTAAGTTATAATTTGAGTTAAAGTTGTAACTTAAGTTTGTGTTTAGATGTGTACATTTGAGTTATGATTTGAATTAAGAATCTATTTGAGTTTGTGTTTAGGTGGGTCAAAACTTGAATTTGTATTTAGATAATATTTTAATAAAAACTCAATGGTGATGAAAAATTTTAATAGGTTATGTGGGTGAGGTTTTATTCGTCTTTTCGTTGTGAACGCATAAAAAAATCATCTCAATCGGAATTAAAACAAAAAAGTTATGGCGTTTTTAAGAATAGAAAAAATATTGTTCAAAAACTTGAGTTTGAATTTAAGAACTTGAGTTGAAGGGGAGAAACTTGAATTAGATTTTAGCCAAAAATTCAAGTTAAAACTCAAATTTTACCAAAGAACATGAACTTAAATAAAGTTGTAACTTGAGTTCAAACTTTTTTTGAGTTTTACTCCAAAAGAACAAGCATATTTTTCACACATTTAGGGCTTGTTCGTTTGTACTTTTGAGTTATGGTGACTTGAGTGTAGATCTTGAGTTGAATTTGAGTTATAACTTGTTGAAATTGTAACTTGAGTTTTTGTTTAGTTGTGTACATTTGAGTTATGATTTGAGATGAAAATCTTTTTGAGTTTGTGTTTGGGTTGGTCAAAACTTGAATTTGTATTTAGATAGTATTTTAATAAAAAGTCAATGGTGATGAAAAATTTTAATAGGGTATATGAGTGGAGTTTTATTCGTCTCTTCGTTGTGAACGCATAAAAAAAAATCATCTCAATCGGAATTAAAATGAAAAGTTATGACGTTTTTAAGAATAGAAAAATATGTTGTTCATTAACTTGAATTTGAGTTGAAGGGGAATTAGGCTATGTTTAAAATTGCTCTCGTTTTTATTTTTCACATTCTTCGAGAAAAAAAAAATGAAAACGTTTCTAAAACAACGTTTGGTGCAATAAAGACAAAAAATGAAAATGAAAACGATTTTTTTAGTTTAGTGTAAAATGAGAGAGAAATGAAAAATAACTTTTAGTCATTTTTCATTTTTGATTTTCGTTTTCTCCTCTCTCGAGCAGAGAGAGAGAGAGACATTAATGAGTTTTTTTATACTGAAAACAATCTCTTAATAAAACTACCAAACACATTTTTAAAAATAATTTGTGTCTGAGATTAAAAACGTTTTCATTTTCATTTTCATACAAAAAATAAAATCATTTTGAAACGAGTTCTAAACACGCCATTAAATTCAGATTTTAGCCCCAAACTCAAGTAAAAACTCAAGTTCAAACTCAAATTTTACAAAAAAAATATCAACTTAAATAAAGTTGTAACTTGAGTTTAAATTTTTTTTTGAGTTTAAGTGTAAAAGAATAAGCCCTTAGAGTTCCTTTTCTGTTACTTATTAGAACTACTTTATTTTTCTTTTTGACCTTTCTTTGATATTCTTCATGCATAATTGGATATCAGAGGCATAGCTTGAACTTCTTTTTACTGCATGCTCATCTACAACAGTTCCTTGCCATGTGCAGCAAGGAAGGCCAAACTTTTTTCCCGTGGCCTTTTGTTGCGTCCTACTGGATAAAAACAGCTCAGTCCAGATTGATTTGTCTATCAATCAATGCGGATAAAAACAGCTTGGTCGAGATTGATTTGTCTATCATTCAATGCGTGATAAATTGTGTGCACTGTTTGACTTAGAAAGGGCTTGTTGGTTCCAGTGTGTAAGATGATTTTTAGCGATCCTGTGAGGTTCTTTTTTGGTCGTTTTACCACTTGGTGTCACCTAACCTAATGACCACAGTTTTTTCATCCCCTACGTCAACTTTGCACCCTCTAGGAACATGACAGTCATGATGATTCCTTGCTAAAGTAATCACAAACGACAACAAATGAACACGATTCTAGGTTCTCCATCAAAATCAGTGTATTTATAAGAAGGTAAGGCTCTTGAAAAAGTGAGGTTGAAAGGCAGGTTTAACATGAGTTTCACACACACTAAAATTCAAAATAAGAGTACGTCCAAGTTGGTAATAATTTTACCAGAGACTTTCGAGATATTTAAGCAATTATCACTTTTCCTGTTCTCTTGTTGATCTTATAAGGAAAGGGTTGAGATATTTGTGCACTTTTTTCAGGTCTCAGCCTCGCAAGAGAAAACCTGATCAAAATTGGGTCATCCATGACGTGACCAATCTCAAGTTGAAAGAGGAAGAATCAATCGACGTTACTTGTGAGAGTTCCTACGCCGGCGTTAGCGCATGGAAATTTGTGTTTTTGGATCAAATGTACTTATTACTTTTGGAGAATTATGTAATAGGATACGAAATACTTTTCTATAAGACGTAAGATCTAGTTCTAAACCGTTATGTTATATCATAAATGTATCAATTGAATCGTCAAATTATATCACGAACACACCACATGAAAAAAAATACGACAATTTAACGAAAAATAACAAAGATCTTCGATTGTAAATATATATATACATATATATTTTTGTTCTTCATATTCCACCATAGGATTTTCCATTAGTACAGTAGGTATTATTAAATATTGAGGAAAAAATTGAAAATATCTATAATAACCTATCTTTCATTACTTGGGATCCAAATTTATATAACTGCATCATAAAATCATAGGAAATACTTTATGCGGTGGGTTAATTGGCTGAAGTGAGGACGTTTGGTTGGAGGATTCAAACCATGTGATTTAAACCATTTTCAATTTACGTGAATTTTTTGTGAGAGAAAATACTGTAGCGAATCATGAATCATGATTCGAATCAGGGAACGAATCCCTCTACCAAACATCCTAGTCTTTATAATATACCCGCACCAATCTTGTCGCTTCACCTGTTTCAGTTTGATGAATATTTAGATTATCTCACAAATCATAAAAAGGGTTGTCGATTCTTTTTTGGAATTTCATTTTCCTGGTGCTCAATTATTTTGGACACTGACATTGAAAAGGAAAACTCAATATAAAGGAGCAGCAACACAAAGCCGTAAAGAGTTCTCACACGCTCAGATGATAATTTGTTAAACGTGACAATTTAATACAATTATTAAGATCTTTGCCAATTTTTCCTGTTCTTGCATTAACAGTACTGAAACCAGATAAAAATTGGCTCATCCATGATGCGGCCAACCTCAAGTCGGAAAGGGCCTGTGGTGCAAGTGCAAGATCTCGACAGTTTGCTGCTGTTAAATCCCCGTGGATTTTACAACGGGCCCACATGAAGGATACAATATAGCCAGTGTATTTATGCTTCGTTTGATTGAGAGATTCGTCTTAAATTCTGAATTATGATTTTTGATTTTTTGCAATGTTTTTCTCTCATAAAAATTTTAAATTTTAAAAATCAGACTCATGAATCATAATTTTGAATTCCTCAACCAAACGTCTACTTAGCATTTCTCATGGGAATCATTTGATACAACTTGTGAGCTGGACGCCATGTAACACCTAGAAACACTGTGCTTTCAACTATGCACAATTAGTCACTTTGAAAAATTGAAAATAATGTAAAGAATCTATGGCTTCCTGTATTGTTATTTGGATTTCAAATTTAAAGAGAAGATTACAAAAGCTTTCCCTATATTTTCATTTTTATTTCGACAATTAACCCTGTATTTCTGAAGTACTTTACAACTCCATGCCCCCAAGTTAGACTTTTGTTGCAAATCTAAAGAAACCGAATCATCTTAATCTAACTTGTAACACTGAAATACCAAGTCATCTTATATTCATTTATGATTGGTACTCTGAGGCCATGAATCTTCTTACTTTAACAAATGGATTCGCATTTCATGGTATTTAGATGACTTGAAATGCTAATCTAAACTTACTGATTTCTAAGCTCATCAGTTGATTAAATGTAACTAGCTACCTAGAGGTTTCATTTTTTTTTTTCCAGACAAATCAAGAAGAGATAGTGATTTTTAAAGTAATGATATTTATAGTAAAGAGGAAGTAAATGCTGGGCATTTTTTTTTAAGGTGACATTCGAATGGTAAGTAGAAAGTAAAATTAATAATTAGGGCTGTTTATAAACCCGCAGGCTCAACTCACCCTATCTCAACCCAACCCGAAAAATGCAATTTTAAGTATTAAATTTTTTTTGTGGCCCATTCAGTGTTTGGCCCGAAATTTTGAGGCGGGGTGTGAGTTGGACCTATAATGACCCGTATACCCTAAGCCAACCCGCGTTCTAATTTGCCTCATCTAATATCTAACCATAGTCAGGTAACTCATTTATACTCTCTAATTTCTTCATATTTGAATTAAACCTCTATGTTTACTTTATGTTAAGAGTAATTTATGAGTGTAGACTAATTTATGTTTGCTTTATGTTTGATGTTGGATGGATTACTTTGCTTCATGTTTGATGTTGGATTGAACTTTGAGTATTTGATTATTTGAATGTTGAAACCGACCACCTAACCCACCTCGTACTGCCCCAACTCAATCCAAACATTATTGGGTTGTAAAATTTTTCTAATATCGTTAGGGTTAAATATGTACAACCCACACCCTTTAAAATAAAAAAAAAAAAAAGTCATACCCCATACTAACCCAACCCATAAACAGCCCTATTAATATTAACGGCTCTTTTGGTTTATTTAGTTCACAGAAGCCTCTTCTTGGCTTAATAGCGTCAGGAGTACTTCGCTTTTTAGCCACGTGGCTAAAGGTATGAACACCAAGATTTGCCAACCACCATAAGTTATTAAGCAGCTATCTCAAAAGCACAAAGTGCCACAAACAGTGTAGTCTTGTAGACCAATTGTCAAACCGACAAACAATGAGGAATATCATGAAAAGCAACTTCAATTGAGTTTGTATTAAGATATATTGGAACTCAAAAAAATAAATAAATAAATAAAAGAAAAAAGAGTAAAAGAGCAACAATCACTCGGCTATATGTATTATGTATCTTACAATCCTCAAAACAGGTCGAAATAATTCCCTCAAAAAACCTTGAGCAACATCAAGATCTGGAGTGAAATAGGATTAAAAATCCCCACAAAAAACACCATGAAACTAATACACTTCAATGGTCAAAGGGTTGATCACAAAATTGAATATATAATTTTTCTCTAGCCTATATATAATCCCATACACAGATCTATAACAAGCAGTCAAGCCTTGATGATTTAAGTATTCACATTTTATGTTGCATTAATCCATATACGGTCATAAGAGCCATAACAAGAGAGTGATCAACATTTTGCTCTATCACCAAAGTCAACACATCATCTCCCAAAATTACTCCTGATGATGACTGCTTTCTCTTTGCCTGCACAAACCCAGATCACAAAATTCCCAATCAGTTTCGCCGTTGATCGCCAAAAAAAAAAAAAAAATATATATATATATATATATAATAAAAATAATAAATAAAATAAAAAATCTCACCTCTGCAACAAGTCTTCCTTGGTTATCTATTATCCTCAGTGCTGATTTACCAGGTGAGCCTTCTAATTTATAGCAACTAAGTGCTTCAAAATTATTCATGTCATTAGATCTCAAGGTAACTTTGCAGGAGAAATCTTTTCCAAGATTAACACTGCAACTTTTTCTCACTTGAAAAAATGGCTTATCATTATTTGAATCCAAACCATTGCTTTTATAGCCTTCCCATCTGCGAAACACCCCGATTTTCTGCACATATACAAAGATTATATTACAAACCAAGTTATTTCATGACTAACAAGATCATGATATGCTAATAATCAGGGTAATATATACTTACTTTTCGGAGAATTGTGAAGAGAACTTTTCCTTTAAGATCCATGAGATAGACCTCATTGCTGTTCTTTTGGTCATAGTTATCCACACGGTAAACAATCTCGCCGTTCTCATTGTATGCTGTACATCCATTGCCTTGCATCACAAGGGATTTCATCCAAACTGTGAATGTTTCCCTCTTTGAAGTTATGTAATTATTAGAACAAGAAGCACTTGAAAAAGCTTGTGAATCTATGGTATTTGATGTGCTAATCAGAGGGTGAACTTTGGCCATTAATTGAGAGGAAATCTTCGTTTGTTGATTTAGAGAGAGAGAGAGAGAGAGAGAGAGAGAGAGAGAGAGAGAGAGAGTTTTGTAGGTCTGAGATCTTTGATGTGGAATGACACTATCTTAACTAATAGTATTTATATGCTATAAGCAAGTAACTATTTGTTTGTAGTTTTGAAAATGTGACATTGGGTACTACTTAAAATATAAAGTTGGTTACACATAAATATATGTATGCATGATTCACCATGTTTAACATGTGTATACGAGTACTCTACCAGAAACACGTGTAGACAAGTATTGAAAGATGTGTATATGTGTAAACTATAATGGTACGGCCTACGGGTATATATTAAAGTTATCTTCTACACTTGTTGACTTCTTCAAGAGTTCGAGAACTATTTGAAATATATATATATATATATTAAAAAAGAAGGGTATAATAGAAAAAAAATGTTGATGAGAGGTGGGAGTATTATTTTTCAATTATTTGGGAGGTATGGATGACATGGGAAACGGTGACATTTACTTTTTTTTTATCAACATTTTAATCATGATATAATATAATGCAAATCATGTTATCCTTTTTTGCTTCAGAAATATCGTGGCGGTACAATGATTTTTATATTATGGTGCTTATCAGCTATGGTAACAGTGCCAAAAATAAAATAAAAGATGATTCAGAACACTAATAATGAGGAACTTTATGTTATAGAGTACCTTACCTGATTAATACATAATTCTAAATCAAAATAACAGTAAAAGAAAAAAGTACATAAAATTGACATAATTTAAGACAGAGATGATAATTCAAAAAATATCTTATCAATAAGGTATTTACTTATACCTAAACCTAAAAATGCATAATAATTACAAAAACACTACTTCTATGAGAGGTGTGTAATGTGTTATTACATATTCTCTGGTAATTCTAAAGTCACTTGGGGAACTGGGAATTCAAAAAAGTAAAAAATTAATAAGTCATGTTTTCAAATAGTGGTCAAAAAGAAGGGAGTAACACAGAAGCCATTTTTCTTTGGAGAATCAATTTTTAACGTGGAGTGGGAAGAGAGGAGGAAAAAGTATAAAAAAAGAAAAGAAAAGAAAAAGAAAATTAAAAGAAGTAGGAATTAATATTATGGAGAAACAGAAAGACATGGCAATACGTTTGTTTGTCACATACATAGTTCAAATTTCCACCGGTCAATAATGTGGGGTTCTAAGTTAGAGGAATCCGAGGCTTAACGTCTGACAGATATAATTCAGCCAAAAAAAAAAAAAAAGGGTCTGACGTTTCAAAAGAACAACAAAGAGAGTAATTAATTAACTTATAATTAAGCTGGCTTTTTGGAAAGGAAAAGAATATGTTAGCATTTGACTTCTTTTAATAGTGTTTATCTATATAAATTAAATGATGTGCATCGCAAGTAAAAGCTTATCCTTGCAAAAATAATTATAAGCACCTGTTATTTTAGCCTGCATACGTGCATATAATGATTCTAAAAGATCCAATATAGTTGGATAATAATTGAGACAACAAACGTGCTAATATGTGGTTTAATAAATAGGTCGTTGTGATATATATATATATATATATATATATCACAAATAAAATTGGAGATCCCCTAAAAAAGAAAGAAATAAAATTGGAGAGGCAGAAGATAGGAAAAAATTAAAAAAACTTGAAATCTATTTTTTTATTAGATCGATAAATATTTGGGCAGATAGCGTATATTTATACGTATAATTTTCACTCAGGTACTGAATTATTGTTGAACATATTTTGACTTTCAAAAAAAAAATTTTGTTTAGCAAAATATTTTAAGAGTTATAACCAAAGGAAGATGGAGAGAACTTTCATTATTAATTGTTTGGCGAGGTTCACTTTATATTTTGAATTATCGTTAAACAATTTAATGAAGATAGTCGGCAACTGATTCTTCTCTGGCGATTTTGCTTCTTATATCAGGTTCTTTAGATGTGCCTCAGAAAATACAAAATAAGTGGAATTAGACTATTTTGTTGTCTAAAAAATAGTTTTTAAGTTTTCTCATGTATATAGGGAGCTAATTGTTGTGCTGACAAGTTGGCCAATCTTAGAGTGATGAATAGAAATAGGATTTGGTGGACTTCTTGTCCTAATTCTCTTGATTTTTTAGTGTATAGGAATTGTTCGTCTGCAAGCGCGTACAATATCAAGTTTTGATAATAAATGGTGAGTGAGTATCATCTCCACATGGATTAGGTATTAAATTACCACTAAGTATCGAGATTATCATAACTCAACTTTATCTAGGCAGCCGAACTCAATGAAATAAAAATAGAATTATAACAAATATAAATACAAAAACAAAATAAAATATGGAAACTTCTATGCACAAATGTACTAGAGACTTGACTTCACATCATTTCTATGTTCATTATATCAAACCATTGCTAGCCAATTCCACCCAATTCATTAATCAATGGACCTAATCTAACCTCATTACCTCTCTCAAGCGTCAAATGAAGTCACATGCATGAATACCCGAATCAATATTTCTATCTAACCCGTTTACTCATACACACTCATTAAGTTTAACCCTTAAATTGGAAATCAAATGTTGATCGCCTCCCGGCCTCACAACAATCGAAATGCTAGTTGATAATCAAGGTCTTGATCACCTCTCGGTCTCACAATATCCTATACTCTTAACTAGATTATCTAAGTGTCGATCTCTTTCTGGACTCACAACAACCAACCTAAATTATGTTTCTCAATTCTGGACTATGAAATCAATCTCTCCCGAGCATCAATATCACAATCTAAAATTATCTACGTCATTGGTCACATAAATTAGAAACATTAAGCATAGAGAAACATAAATAAATTAAGATGGAATTTAACTAACAATTGACAAGATAATCAATCATGGTTCAAATAAAGCTACATCAAGCCCTAGAATATGAAGTCTAGCTCAACATAGAGGAATCCATAACCAAAATCACAAATTTAAGAACAAAAACTAAAAACTACAAAGAAAAGGGAGAAGGAAGAGAAAACTCTTGTGGAGATGAGCTTCAAGTCTTCAAATATTCAAGAATCTCTCCCAAGTATTTTTCAAGAATCTCTAACTCCAAGCTTCTCTCTCTAGGAATTTGTGCGTCTCTCATTCTCTCCAAGTTGGGAACTAGGGTTTCATTTACTTAAGTATGCTCAAACATGGAGAAAATCTTTGTCAAACTCATCTAAGGGTCCAAAATTGGCCATCCATATTGAACAAGGGCAGAAAAATGGCCCAAAGTTCGTCAACAGTGCTGGTTCCCGAATCGAATTCGGGTGCGGAAGCGTGGGGATGAAAAACAGCGGATCGTGTATAACAAAATTTTTCATAAAACTTTTGAGACACTCTATAGATTATATTAATTTATGCACGAATAAATTAATCACATTAATTTACATGATTCAATGATCAACCGAAAAAATACCTGGAAGCCGACTCGGATGATAACTTGAATTTCTTTGACCACGAAGAGTCCTTACTCCAAGCTTTGTGTTTAGAATACCAAAGTCTTCCACGTCAATTCCTTGATTCCACGTAGACGTGTGTGTGGGCACACGTGAGACAAAACAGGTTTCTTAAACACTCGAATTTCCACAAACACCAACGCATGCACGATGTGGAATTTTTGGAGAAAAATATTTTGTTCTCTTTTTCCTCTATGAGAATTTCGGCCACACTAAAAAACTAGGGCTCAATATATGTTAAAATTGTCTCTACAATTTTCTATCTTTCTCATATCTAAAGAGAAGAAGTCAAACTTCAAAATAGAATCAAATCCTTATCTCCAATTTTGAATTTGGAACAAAAAATCCCTTCCCCTTATCCACTTGGTGGCCGGCCACACTCTAGGGTTTTATCCCTGTGTGTGGCGCCTATCTCAGATAGGGAAGGAAGAGATTTTATCCTTTATCCAGTAGTCCAATTTTAATTTAGATTCAAATTCGAATTTAAGTCAAAATTAAATTAATTTGAATTCTAAATTGAACAACTTATCAAATAAGTTTAAATGGATAAATCTAGATATGTTCAAATTCAAATTTAAATAATCACATTATTTAAATAATAA